GAAAAATTTAAGGGGGTCTGAATACTTTCCGTACCCACTGTACCTGCCCTATGCAAATCAAAACACAAATCTGATATCAACCACTGATATCAGTGAACAACACTGGGGGTGGCTGTGGATCAGGAGGTAGCATGGGTTGTCTCCTCACCGGAAGGTTTCCGGTTTAATTCCCGACTTCTCCAGTCCAGGTGTCAAGGTGTCCTTGAGCAAGACATTGAACCCCCAGTTGCTCCCAGTGTGTGCTTGGGAGTGCGAATGGGTGAATGGACAAATAGTGTGAAAGTGCTTTTAGTGTGCTGCAATGCATAAAAAAGCGTTATACAAGTATATGACCATTTAATGTTTGTCCAGCTGCATACAGTGTCTTTGGAAAACATAGTGTACCCTGCACTGTTCCCTAAATGGTCCAAATTCTCCAGCTGGGGGTGCTAGTGCTCCAAACTGACTGTGATGCAAAAACACAGAGAAAAACCAGAGTAGAATACAGATAACGCTGCCCCTGGACAGTGACTGTTTTATCAATTAAATAGATCTGTCTTCTAACGCTTTGAATTGTATTTTGCACCAAACTGTAAAAGCTCCACCACCTGCCTGAATTTGATGGACAAATAGGTATAGAACGTGTCTGTCTTTATGGTGACTGGTGGTGCAAATACTCATAAAAATCCATAGAAATTCTGTTAGATTACACGAAATGTTTTATTTCACGTACGTGCCATCATCCACACCAATGTACAGTACATGCAAGATAATCGATATGATCCCGACCTCATGCTCTCATTTCACTGACGTCAGAGAGAGGGCGGCAGACAGCGGGGTGTGGTGGGTGCCAGAGTATAAAGGCTCTCACACTGACTCCCCGGGCTGCATTCCACAGTGCGGGACGACAAAGCGTCACTAATGGAAGTACAGAGAAATATCGGGTCCCAACAGTCAAACAACAGCATGTGTGAATCGACGCAGAGGTCCTGTGAACCTTACCGAAAGAGAATGGATGAGCGCAGTGCGTCTTCAGAGATGGCCAGGATAATCACTGATCCTGCCACGGGGAAGTGCTACTGCCGTGGGAAAGTTTTGGGAAAGGTAGAGCAAGCACAGAATTTGTAGTGCACATTTTGGATTTACCACGTAACATGACGATAAAGCATGTTAACGGTGTTTTTCCTCTTCCCAGGGAGGATTCGCTAAATGCTACGAGATGACCGACCTCTCCACTGGCAAAGTTTATGCAGCCAAAATCATCCCGCACGCACGCGTCTCCAAACCTCACCAAAGAGAGAAGGTAAGCGCACTGCTCAGGTGCCTGTGCGCACTGGCATAACTGGACAACAGATATCACAAAACTGCCTTCACTTTACAATCGTGACCATTTTGTGTCTTCCCCGCTAGATTGACAGAGAGATTGAGCTGCACAAAGCACTGCACCATAAACATATTGTGCACTTTTATCATCATTTTGAGGACAAGGAGAACATCTACATCCTGTTGGAATACTGTAGTAGAAAAGTAAGTGTTTTTTGTACTGTACTCCTGTACCCCTTGCCACCGTTTGGATAACACCTGCATTGCACCCAAACTCAGTGAGGCAGCACACGGGCAATATTAACTATGAAAGAGCTCCGTGTTTATTAATTGGATGTATAGCGAGTCGCTATTTCTCCCTCTGGTTCTATGAGGCCAATGAAAGTAATAAATATTTTTTTCTTAACAAAGGAACATCCATGTTAGTATGTTAACACCTCGGGAATCTGTTTTACAATTTTCTCTATGTTTTGCCTTTTTGCAGTCGTTAGCCCACATCCTGAAGGCTCGCAAAATGCTTACTGAGCCAGAGGTGCGTTATTATCTAAGACAGATTGTCTCTGGCCTGAAGTACCTGCATGAACAAGAAATCCTTCATAGAGACCTGAAACTTGGTAAGGAATCTTTATGCAGCCATGGAACATTATATTGCTGAGACACTTTGTACACAATGGTAAAGATGCATTCTGTGCAGTGAGGATATCATTTTTTCATACTAACCCACTTCTTCCTCTTGCTTTTTTTTTTAAATCAATTCGTCAGATGAGCTGTGCTGTATTTAGCCTTTGATCCTGGGTTGAATATCAAGTGCTCATCATCTCGTTCCCTTTCTTCCCTACAGGTAACTTTTTTGTAAGTGAGTCGATGGAGCTGAAGGTCGGGGACTTTGGTCTGGCTGCCAAGCTGGAGCCAGCAGGAAACAGGAGGAAGACGATCTGTGGGACTCCCAACTATCTGTCCCCTGAGGTGCTCAACAAGCAGGGCCATGGCTGTGAATCAGACATCTGGGCCCTAGGCTGTGTAATGTGAGTACCATAGTTGTAAATTCATCACTATAAAACTGGCTCTGTTTACTGGAATAATATTAGTAATTATTTATCATTTTAATTAACAAATAATAGTTTAATGTCACACAATCAGTTTGAAAATGCACATTGGCATCACATTTTTGTGATGAAAATCTCATTTTTGGCCTCTCTCCTTGTCCAGGTACACCATGCTCTTGGGCAGACCACCATTTGAAACCACGAACCTGAAGGAGACATACAAGTGTATTAGGGAGGCACGTTACTCCCTACCATCCTCACTGTCACCACAGGCGAAGCAGTTAATCGCCAGCCTGCTGGCCAAGATTCCAGAGGACAGACCCAACCTGGACCACATTCTGAGGCATGATTTCTTCACACAGGTTAGATACCATTCTAATCCCTCTGTCTCTTCCAGTTTCTCTCTCTCTCTTTCTCTCTAAATGTCACTGTGTAGGAGTATAGCAGTCAACCCCTTCCCACGAGCTACAGACTGACCCATTTTTGTTCTCCACAGGGCTTTAGTCCAGAGCGTCTGCCACCTAGCTGCTGCCATTCAGCACCAGATTTCCATGTATCTAGTCCCGCCAAGAGCTTCTTCAAGAAAGCTGCTGCTGCGCTCTTTGGTGGGAAGAGAGACAAGGTCAAATACTACGAGACTCTAAGTGAGTGCACAGCACATCAACCACTCAGCACACTTAAAATGCCACCTGCTACACCAGCCAGTTAATCTTTCAATCGAAAAAAATATGGTTGCTGTAAGAGGCATCATTTTATCTAGCTTTTTAAATGGTTAATAGATTAGATTAGATTCGACTTTATTGTCATTACACATGTACAAGTACAAGGCAATGAAATACAGTTTAGCATCTAACCAGAAGTGCAATAACAGCAGTGCAGAGTGTGCAGTATCTACAGTCTGTCCAGTCAGTTCTAATTTACCAGTAGATATGTAATAAGGCCATGCTCTGATTTTTGTATGCTGTCACTGTCTTTGACAGATAAGTTAACTAAGGAGGAAGAGGAGATTTACAAACTACAGCACAATCTGGAGAGAACTGTCATCAGTCAACAACAGAGCAAAAAGATTGCAGAGGTAAGAGCCAAGCAGGATATTTACAAGAGCATATGTGATGATGATACAGGTCCATTATTGATGCAGCCTTTAAATAAATAGGTAGATATGAAGTATCATGTTTCAGTGTGCGAATCCAATGAGTCATTCTAATGCTGTGCTGAACTTTATAACAAGCATAGTTTCAGAACAGACTAAAAGCACTTATTATCAACCTTTAAGCCAACCACTTTGCATCTGTGGGTGACCACTGAGTCAGAGTAGGAAGAGATGATCTAAACTTGCAGATTCTAAACCCTGTCGTCACTGACTCCCACCTCAGAATGGAAGTCCACTTCCGCCATCTGCCAGGAGCCCTGTTGCCCTGGCAACAGAGAGCGAGTCCCCAGCGATGCGAGACACCATTCATCTGATTGTCAGGGGGAGCCTGGGGAGCTGCAGCAGCAGCAGCGAATGTAGGTTCACCAGCCTTGTTTCACACACACACACAGCCCAGTAATACTCAGTTTCAACATCTAACTGGGAATTGCACAGAGGAAACCAGAATACGTAGGTGTATGAATGACAGATTTGACGTAATGCCGCTGTTTTTTTTTTTTTTTTTTATCAAAGGCTTGGAAGACAACACAACAGGGAGCGTGGCTGAGACAGTTGCAAGTGTGTTGAGGGGATGCCTGGAGAATATGCCTAAAGGTGAGTCAACTTGTTAAAATGATTCACAAAGTCACAACCTATACATGTAGCTATTGATTAGATAATTCCAAACTGAAATGTTTCACGATGCAGCTTACACCCATTATTCTCCATTTGCCCTTGAAACCTCTAACAGAGTGATGTCAATCAAAACCTTAGTTAATTACAAGCACACTGTATGTGCAGTTTGGGTTCCAAGTTTGTTTTTGAAGACACACTGCCTGATTTTGTTAGAACAGAGTTCCTCCCAGCTTGCTGTTGTTTGAAAACTTAACACAGTTCATAGTTGAGTTTCAGTAATGGATTAGATAAACTGAGCAAAGTTTGGACTGTAATAGAAGTCTTGTTTCTGAATCGGGGACTGTGCTGTGATAGCACATTCAGAGTTGTCACTTCTTAAGATCTTTCTTGTAACTGTATTCTTATCCTTTGTGTTCTCACCTTACAGCAGATGACATTCCTCAAGGCTCAGACAGCTGCAGTTTTCAATGGGTGACTAAATGGGTGGACTACTCCAACAAGTACGGCTTTGGCTACCAGTTGTCAGATCACACTGTGGGAGTTCTCTTCAACAATGGCACTCACATGAGTCTCTTGCCAGACAGAAAGTATGCACCATTCTTGTACAGTGCTCCACCTTTATTTTGAAAGTGATTAGTCACAACATACACTGTAATGGGGACAGCTTGTTTAAACTTGCTGTAGTACTTAAAGTTACCCAGAAGAATCTGTCAGTGGATTTTATTAAATGAATAGCTTTAGTTATGTATTGCCTTCTGTTTGCCATAAAGTCAGGAAAATATTTATATTCAGGCTTCATTTAACCAAAAAGCGTCTGTTTCCAGCAAGAGTATTATATTCAGTCAGTAATGCCAGCAAAATGTCAAATTTTTTTAAGTTGTCAAGTATTTGTTTATCTGAGTGGTTGTGTAACTCTTTCTTTATCTCTCCCTCTGATTTCAGGACCATTCATTACTATGCAGAGCTGGGTCAGCGCACTGTCTTCCCCACCTGTGAGGTTCCTGAACACTTTGTGGGCCAAGTCACTGTGCTCAAGTACTTTTCCCATTACATGGAGGAGAACCTCATGGATGTAAGTAAATATCTCTATTCCCCCACTCCTGTTTTCATTCCTGTGATTTATATTTCTCTTCCTGTTATATTTCCTTTGTCTTTTTGCCCCTGAAGCATTAGAAATGGTATTTTTCAAGTTGCAGCCTGCCTAATCCTGATGTGTTGCTTTTTTGCTATCTCAGGGTGGGGACCTGGGTAGTTTGACAGATGTACACATGCCCAGACTCTACCTGCTGCAGTGGCTCAAGTCTGACCGCGCCCTCATGATGCTCTTTAATGATGGCACTTTCCAGGTAAACACACACACACACACACACTATCACAGGAATGACAGTTATTGCTGGGCACTGTTATGATGCAGTGCCTAACACAGGACCACAAATTAAATAAGAAAAGAATTTCCAGTTGTCTTTTGCCAAAAATTGATGGAGAATAAAGCAATAAAAACATTTTGTTTTTTTTATCTCCAAAGATCAATTTTTACCACGACCACACTAAAATCATCCTGTGCTGCCAAAGAGATGAGTACATGTTGACATACATCAATGAGGACCGCATCTCCAAGACCTTCAAACTCAGCTCCCTGCTGACATCTGGCTGTCCCACTGACCTACGTGAACGCATGGTTTACTCCCTCAACATGCTTCTGCAAAGATGCAGCTAGACCCACAAGAATGCATTCTGACACCAGTCCATTGTGTTACTGCAGTTCTGACGTGGAACAAGGATTGCAAGGATTCATAAAGGTTCTGTGCAAGACATGTGGAGCAAAGATGGACATGTGCAAAGTAACATTCCTGCACTGTTGCACCTTCATGACTCAGCAGCAGTGCAGGTGGGAAAAAAATACAGAACAGCTGAAGCAGACTGAGAAAATGAAATGTAGCACAATGACTCTGGGTGGAAAAGGGCTGATTTGTATGTTGAGTGTTATAGAAGAAGGACAGAGTATGTTGGTACAAATGTGAACCACAGATGTTTGGAGAAAAAGAGGGATGTTTTGGAAGTAAAGACAAATGCTGGGCTGGTACCAGCTTAGCGGTGTACAGTAAAGTCGAATCTGTTTATAGAGGCAATACATAAACTGAGGCTCTGAATGTAACCAGAGCTAGACTGTGGAATATTGTAAATAATGTATAGTGTATGTCACATTCAACACAACAGTGCACAGAATCAATTTGCTAATGTGTGTGAATGCTGCACAGTTTGACTGTTTATATGTACTGTATGAGCGTGAGTGAGTGGAAGGGCTGTAATATCACACTAACTTTCAAAACTGTGATTTGTGCTCCTTACTGGCAGATGGACTCAGCACATCCAGCTGGGTACCAGAGAGGTGATGTGAGGGTGGGGAGAGAGTGGGGGGGGCGGACCAGGAGGAGAGAATGACAAAAAAAAAACAGTACCAGAGATCCTCTAAGGATCCATGAGCCATTATCACCTTGGTAGAAAATGTCCTAAATAACTTATTGTGTAAAATAAAAGTGCAGTATTTATTTATTTAATAATAAAAATGATTTTCTAAAAAAAAAAAAAAAGTCGTATCCTTGAGTATTTTATGATCAACAACACAGAGCTGTCTCCAAAATGTTCTTAGTGTGCTCTCAAAATAGGTGCCTGCTATTTTTAAATGCATTTTATCAAAACTGAAATGGACTGTGTCCTTATATGTTTAAGCTGTTCCTGAGTTAATGGGTGGCACATTGTAGTGAGAATTAGATTAAATGTAATTGCACCCCGTATATGTGCACTAGTTCAAGTCAAAGCAAATATTTTATCTTGTGTTTGCACCAGGAAATGGACACACAGAGCAAGGTGGATGTGTTTACAGGGAACATGTTTATACACTGGGTCAAGGCCCCACCTAAGCTGAGTTTTCTTCTGCAGTGATAAACAGAGGATGGCAAAGATGACTGACTGAGCAATGTGGCTGACCTTGCCTCACAAAGGCACGCATTACTTTGCATATAAACGGGCTGCTCATCAATAGACAGGCTGTCTGGGCAGTTCGGAAATATGGAAGGGAAGCAGCCAAGCAGTGACATACAGCTAGAAAGAGACATGGATAAATATAATCACAGATTTGGTCATACTGTGTCAGCGTACTATGTCAGTGATTGCATCAGAGCTTAGGAGGCAAAGCGACTGCAGTCATTCCTGGACATCCTTTCACATTCACTCGTGGTAACCATGGAAACAAGCAGCCACTCGCCAATTTGGTGGGAGTTGGAAATCAATGAAGGCTGCGTAAAAGACATCTGTCACGTCGTCTCCTTACTGAAAGGCAGAACTCATGTGCTAAAATTGTAACTTCTACCTTTTCCCACTAATTTGTTTTTTCCGGCACACTCTCTCTGTTACCCACATGAGTTGTTTTGATCCGGTTGTCTGTTGAAGCACATTAACTGTTCAAGCTTATGTAATGATGGAACTTGAACATGGATGTTTGAGTCATCCCTGTGGATGTTCACTCAGAATATCTGTGCTCAGAGTTCAATAATGAATGCCTCATGCATAAACATACCCACACAGGCAGAAGCAGAACAGGAAGTAGCCTACAAGAGGAAGGAGCAGGAATTATTCATGACGACACCTTCAGGTTTGAGTGCATGTGTTGCGACAGTAATGACCCCTGGAATGGATGCTTCAGTCAGACAGGAATTGACTTAATTGTTGATGGGAGGTTCTCTGGCTTTAAAGGGCATTTTCATCCCTGATCCTAACATCTGAAGCAGAGTGCAGCATCTCCATCAGATGCAGTGAGCTGAACTAAGTTAGTAACACAAACAACCCAGAGCAAAAGTGACAGTTTCTCTGGGGTTAATTGAGTGAAAGCATATCTTACTCTGATGTAGATTTAGCTACTGTAATGACTACTGTAATTGAAAATTCTGGTCAAACCAGAATCACCTCTGTGAGCCATCAAATGTTAAATGATCGACTTTACTTGCCTCAATTTCATGATGTTGACTTGGGGAAGATGAAGATCCACAGGGCCAACACTTAAACTTTCTACACACCTGTAAACACATGCAGATAAAATACTAGGAAAACAATGGATAGGACAAAAAGCTGAGGGCAAGTTCACTTGATGTTCTTAGTGTTACTGTCATGTGCTAGTTTTCAGCATCACCCACACAGAGCTGCTACTCTGTTATGTCACATTGACCAGTGGGAAAAGCTTTGTGCGTCTGAGCTGGAGAGAGTGACAAGAAGGGATCTTTATACCTCAACTTCTGTCATTAAGTTCTCTGAAGGCAGAAGGGTCAGTTTGACATTAGAAGTGATAGTAGGCACATTCTGCCAAAAAAAAAACAACACTTTTGTTGTGTGCACACACTGGGATGTTCGGGGATTTGAAAGCCTTTGCATATCAAATGTCAGCATTCCTCCTCCTACTATGCGAACAAAAACATGTACTGTAGCTTTGCCCATCCTCTACTGTAGCCTACAGTATCAACAATGGGAAGTGCACAGCAGCCAAATTTGACAAGTTGCCAGGGCAAATTTAATCAAATACTGTAGACTTACCAAACAAAAGTCTCTACTGAGTGGGTGCAAGCATATAAAAAGTGTGTGTGTGTGTGTATCTCTCAGCATATTTCCTTCCAGGTGTTCAGATACATACAATGCTGAGAATAAGTGACTGTGTAAGATGTACTGGCCGCTTATTGGTTCAGTAGCATGACGCTTTGTAATTTCTTCGGTTCTCTTAGACAATCTTTTTTCCCTGGCTGAGAATAAAACCTTGTGGGGTGCTATGACAGCATTTGGTCTATTCATAGATCAAAGTGTACTGGAAAGCCTGCATCCAATGCAGCAGCAACTCAAGAGTAAAGGTATAATAAAGACAAGCTCTCTTTTCTTTTCCAATTCTGTACTTTTTAAGCTTTTGTCTTGTAGCATATAGACTCCTATAGTTCTAACCAGTATTTAGCTAGATATGCCTGTCAGTGAGATAATAATCAGAGTCCATTCAAATTCATTGTTTAGTTCATAAATCCAAAGTTCAATACAGTGGCAGAAACAACAGCAAAAACCTGTCACTGCCTCCCACATTTTAGCTTTTTCGTTGCATTTTCTGTGGGAAGCAAAGTTTATCCTAAAGTCCCCCTGCATCAACCTCCCCATCTAGTCATTATGGCATGGTGTGATCATTGAAATGCACTGGGTTGCGAGATGGTTACTATTTAAGCTCTTATTTGAAATGCAGCACAGTTGAAATTGCATTCCATCCATTCCAGAAAATGAGAGGCTGTGCTGTATTGATTTTCCTAAGTTTCATTTCTCATACTCAAATTTCCATTTGCAAAGTTTCAACTTGTGTGAGAGTTGGCTGCTTCTCAAGAATAGCATTATTCACATTATGACTTAAAAAACTTCTACAATAACAATTTAAATGGTCAAACTGCTAAATAATACAAATATGAATACTAAATGCAATCATTGTTGACCACATTAAATGAAATATCAACTTATTATCTGAGTTAATGTTTGAGCCACCAGCAAAGAAAAATGCATGGTCCTCCTCCCATCCTTCCATTACACTAACCATTATAGGCACATGGTTCAAAGGCTGAGCGGTGTTGGTATCACTAAATGTGGAAAACAAGGCATTTCGGAAAGATCCCTGAAGTGTGGCAAGTGTTTAAATATAACCCTGCCTTGTGGAGGGAGGAAACTCCAGAGGCTTCAAAGCAGGGTTTCAGTTGTGACTCAGAGCAGAGGTAGAAAGACAAAGAAAATCCTACACACATACATACATCTCCCTTTGGATTTAGGTGTGGCTGCATTGCTGAACAAATTAACAACTGAGTACCAATGTTCCTCTCTGGCATCATGTTGGAGCTTTAGCTACAGATGTCCGTTTATATAATACGTTATATAAATCATGTATAAATGTGTCAAAAAATCATTGCTAGCAAACTGAAACTTGTTGATACAAGGTTGCTGCTTTGATTAAGTGCTACAGATTCCACAATGTCATAACTTGCCCACATACTTTATGGCCAATAAATCAGCCACCTACATATCAACCACCTTCGTGACTTATGGAGGGTGTGTAAGTTTTTAAAGTTCTACCAAAGCTCTTGTCCTTTGCTAATGGTGTAGTTGTTTGTGCAGGGATGTCAAGCTGTTACAACAAATCATTTATTTAATTGGCACCTCTGCAGAGTTTGAGGAATTTGAATGACTGACTCAGCAACAGTGTTTGTTCAGAGATTATAACTGAAAGGTCTGTGACACAGCCCATGGACCTTTGGCATTTTCCAGAGCCTTCACCCAGTGGATGCCAAAGGAACTGTAATCCAAATTGCTGTTTCCCAGCATGCAGTGGAACAACTGTGGTGCCAGATGGGGGTGGATCAATTTCATGATGTTGACTTGGGGAAGAAGAAGCTCCACAGGGCCAACACTTAAACTTTAATAATGCTTCAAAGCAGGACACAAACATACAGAAAATGTTCAAAGCAGATAATGTTGAAGAGCGATAGGTTGAAAAGTTTTATATGGCAGACAAACACATCTGTCTTCTTTGTAGTGTGGCCATCTGGCCATAATGACAAACTATTAACTACAATTCATCCACATGTTGTTACATGCAGGGTATGAGCTGAATGTATTCAAGAACCACTTCTCACCATGCAGCTGAAACTGCCTTAAGAATTACTATATCAACAAAAAGTCCTTTCATGTTACTATATGGCAGTTTCACTGTAATTACCGTATGTCTGACTGTTCAGTATATTTCTGCCCTCTTTGTGTGTCCCATTCATGAAAAATCTCTGCCTACTTCAGTATGAAAAATAGAACAACAACAGAAAAAAGTGAAATGCCTGGACAAAGGGGAAACAGGAGAGTCGGGCATGAGGTTAACAATGACAGCATTTCCGGGGATTCGTCTGACAACCCCAATCAATGAGCCAATCAATGCATCATCTCTGATAACAGATTGCCAGTCTCCACTTACTCTGCCATTGAGCTGAGTGGGAGTCACACATTACTGTTTCCATGGCAACTGGTATTCTCATCCTTGCCCACATGTAGGCTAATGCCATTAATTTGGCTGGTCTTTGTTAGTCATCCTGTACTGTGAGCACAGTCCCTCAGTTAGATGTTTTGATCATTCATTCATTTTCTACCGCTTAGTCCCTGAATGGGGTCACTGGGGGGGCGGGGTTGGGAATACCCGGAGAGAACCCACGCAAGCACGGGGAGAACATGCAAACTCCACACAGAAAGGTCCCAGGTGGGGCCCAAACCCAGAGCCTTTTGATCATATTATTTATAATTGGTGAAGTCTCACAATGTACTTTTGTAAATGATTATTTTGTTCAGAACTCCATGGCCTTACAACATGTACTGTTGACAATACTGTTTGATTCACTTAGTGCCTGCTGTTTCAGAAGGTTTGCTGTGCATATCCACATTAAATCATTTGTCTGTAACAGCTTGATTTTTTTTAGAGGTTGGTGACATTTAAATATTAAGAACCTATTGCTGATCA